TCTTATTTTATATATATATATATATATATATATATATATATATATATATATATATATATAGAGAGAGAGAGAGAGAGCGGTTGTCCACGTCCTGAATAAGATAAGCACCAAGACTTGTTAACATGGCAGGGGAGAAGGGCAGTTCCAGAATTAATAAAGCAGTCATCCAAGAAATTGCAACTCAAACTTCCACCAAACACATGGCTATGAAGTTGACAAACCAGGATTCAAAGAAACATGAGATCAAACGTGACTAGGGTTAGATATGCCACCCATGTCAAGCAAGGCTTGACAAACTTTTTAGACAATGGATTAACCTTGCCAAAGGCCCAGTAACATGCAAGAAGAGTCCCCAAATTAAGCATGGAGAACACAAATCCAAGCCAAACTGCTCCAATCCTGAGCACAAGAGGATCCCAGACCATACTCAAAGAGATTTGAGCAATGTAGAGAGGCAACGCATCCGAGTCAACATGAAACCCATCATTAGTCCACACTAGCCAGGCTGCTAGGCTCATAAGAAAAGTTGAACACACAGAGCCTAAATGAATTATTGTTAGAGAAGGAAACCAAGAGGGTTTGGCTAGGGCACGGTACCTTCTGCCTGAACCAAACAAGTATATTATGGTCAAGGACAGGGAAGGAGGTGCCACTAATACCATAAAAAGTGACCATAAAGAACCTTTAGCGTTGCTGGTCTTCTGAGTTTTTGGCATGGCGAGGACGTGTTGATCTTTTTCTGCTAGGTTTCTTAGGGTTCTGGAAGCCATTAGAATCGTAAAGAATTGGAAGAGAAGGGAGGAGACGAAGCATTGACATAAAATAGAGAAGAACGAATGCTAGATGAGAAAATCCTGGGGTTCCTTTAACTTTCTTTCTTAGGCCATCTTCTTGATTTTCGCGCAAGTAACTGCTAAATTATATATGCCATTAATGGAGTACTTTCTCTTTTTACAACTAATTGTCGCAATTCTTGCAGTAGAGATCTCACGGCTATCTTGATCTTATTTCCTCCAATCAATTAAAAACATGTAAGAATTCGACTTCCTTTTTTAGTAATGTGTACGGTCACCTTTTTTCTTTTTTTTTCCAAGTCTTGTTTGTTAAAATAATTTAAGATCATAAAATGCAAATCATATCTTAGATATAATCATAAAACTGAGTGATTTCATTTAACAATTAATTTCAGTAAGAATATGAAGTATCTCTCTAGCATTTTTTTATTTTTTTATCAATACCAATAAGAGATTTCATTGATGTAATAATAGAAATGCATGATTTAAAACTATATTATATATAAAAAAAATCCATAGTGCAAACTTAAGTAATTAAAACCTAAAACATGTGGGTTGATTGTGAATGAAAACACTTACATTATAATGTAATAGTGATTCTATTCTTCTGTCCTTGTTTCTTCCTTTCTAGTTTTTATTTTTTTTATTTTTTCATATTGTATTAATTGGTGATGAAGCTTAATGAAAACCTATAATTTGTTTCAAAAAAAAAATAATGGGACTAAAATTGAATATGGATGAAAAATTTAGCCATTTTTTACCCAAAGTTGTTCTTCAACACTTTTTTTTTTTGAAACTATACCTTGAGATTTTTTTCAATTTCTATTTTGTTCCTTTTAATTTGACAATTATATGTTTTTTACCCTTACTAGTATTGCACCTGACATTATAACTTATATGTTTTTTACCCTTACTAGTATTGCTTACAGTGTCTTTTAAAAAAATAAATGAAAATAAAAATAAATTATTAAAATCATTGTTATGTAAAAAGTATAGATATAAATCACTTATCTATAAGAGATGCTTGACTCGTGCTTTTTTATTGTTGTTGTGTCCTTTATGTTATTCCTCTCAAATCCATAAGCATGCCATATTATTTTACATTCAAATCACATTTTGTAAAGTAACAATAGTAATAAGAACAACATTTACTTCTTTTTTACAATTGTTTTTTTTATATTTACATTCTCATTATATCTCTTAAGATTACTATTCATTATCGAACCATAACGAATATCACAAAATTCAATTTCAAAAATGATTTATTTCCTTTCGAATGTCAAGACATGACGCTACAAAATTTTTGAAGGGAAGGAAACCGAATCCTGCTCTTAACGTGACTAAATTTCCTCCTTTTGTTAATTTTGCCAAATCTGCTAGTAGAGATGACAACTCAATCTCTTCTAAGATATTTATCTATATCTGGAGCTCTACAGTTCCAA